AGGTCAGCTCCCAGACTGCTGCACTGGGCAGCACAGTATGGGGAAGAGGTGAGCAGCCCTTGGTGGAGAAAGAACAGGTTAAGAACTATATAGAAAATCTGGACATACACAAATTCATGGTGTAGTAGTTCAGGATAGCAATACAGTAAATTCAGGATTCACTTGTGTGGCGTCCTGCTCGCTCTCCTGCTCAGTCAGTAATGAAAAACATTCGGCTGCGTGCATTTTCGTATGCTCCGTCAGTATATCGTGTCAGCTCTGCAGATCCCCAAAATACCACAGACTCAGATAAGATATGAAGGCACCTGAGTCAGGTTTATTGTTGAACAAAGTACATTAATAGCTGTCAGTAGACAGATGGCCTCCAAGCCCCTACATATTTGTACCCAGGACAACGGACTCAGTTCAGTTCAGTTGATCATATCGGCTCCCAGGCCAGCCAAAGAATTAAGTCAAGGTACCCCAATATTTAGACACAGAAATGAACAATCTGTGATGCACACCATACGTATCATCTTATACATTGATGACACATTTGCTACCTCCCCTTGTACTTGTTCCTCTAAACCATTGTTATGCTTTCACTCTTGTTTCAAACTATTTTATTATGTACTCAGCTGGGTGTCCCTGTACTATCCTGATGGACTGTATTTACATACTTCATGTGCTTTTATCAGTGCTAGCAGTTCTAGTGCCGATAGACACTGACTTGTAGGCAAACATTTGCTTTTGACACTGCCTGTCTGTTACTCATAGTATAACTCTTACTTGTTCAAGCACCAGGCCCATGCTTCAGGTTCTTTCTCCAACACATGGGACCGGATCTAATGCATCCGAGGGTGCTGAGGGAGTTGCAGAGCCACTGGCATAGGCATGCGCACAGGGTGTGCCGGGTGTGCCCAGGCACACCCTAATGTCTCCAGCTGGCTAGCAACTGCTGGAGGAGGAGGAGGGGGATTTGAGACTGGGTACCACAGCCCGTCACTTTCCCTGCGGCCATCTACGGGGCACTTTGGGGAGAGAGAGCACACATGTGCGGTGGAAGCAGCTGGGGCCAGACCAAAGACACCAGCCCGAGCCATTTTTTCACCCCGAGCCCAGCTCGGCCCGGACCAGCAGCACCACGTGGTGCCCTTTCTGCGGCTGGGAGTGCCCCTGCCTGGCCCGGCAGCACCATGCGGTGCCCCTTCTGCACCCAGGGCCCCAGCCCTGGCCCCGTCCTCGGCTCCTCCCATCCCGGCAGCACCGCATGGTGCCCCTTCTGCCCCTGGGGCCGCAGCCCCAACCTCAACCCTGGCCTCGGCCTCGGCCCAGTAGCAATGCACAGCACCCCTGGGGCCGCGGCCCTGGTCCCACCCATGGCCCCGCCCATCCCAGCAGCACTGCACAGCGCCCCTTCTGCGCCTGGGGGTGCTCCCACCCGGCCCAGCCTGGCGGTACCACCCAGCGCCCCTTCTGCACCTGGGGCCTCATCCTTGGCCCCACCCGGCCCGGCAGCACCGCGTGGTGCCCCTTAAAGTGACGCACCCCAGGCTAGGGCCCAGACGGCCTGTAGCTTGGGCTGGCTTTGACTCCAGCCCAGCAAGCTGGAAGGCAGAAGCCAGCTTAGCCTAAAGTAAGGGAAAGGGAGGAGGAGGAAAATAGGCAGGGGTGGGAGAGGAAGAGGCCTGTGCTGAGGAGAGGAGGGAAGGTCAGGAGAAGAAAGGGGAAAGCACCAAGGAACAGGGTGGAGGAGAGACAAATGCCAGGGGGCCAAGTGGAGACAATGAGGGAAAGGGCAAGGGGGAAGTGTCAGTGGGAGGGGGGGACAGGGTGATGCTGGGAGAGGAGAGGGGAAGGGCATTGGGAGCCATATGTTGTGCAGGCCTGATTTAATTGAAAAATTCTTAATAAAGTATCACCCCTCCTCCCCCCAAAACCTACCCTTGCGGCCCGCAGCTGTTTTCTTTGGAGTAATATGGTCCTCGCCGTTTTCCGAGTTGTGCAGGCCTGATATAAACAGAAGGAAACGGCGAGGGGGGAGGGAGGAAAATGAACTAAATGTGCCTGGTGCAAACACCACGGACATACATTTGCAGAATGAGTACCAAATGTCCATGGACCCTAGTGTCTTCATGGGCAAAACCTGCATGAAAATGCTACTGCAGTGAAGAGTCTTAAAGCAAAGACCTAAAGTCTTGCCAAGTATCCTTACCTGCGTGGCCTGCCCTTGTTGCTGCAGCTGCTGTAACTGTTGTGCTGTCAGGAAGCTCACTGGCTTGTTTCCAGCAATAAGTTTTGTCCCAGCTGGCATTGTAGTCAGGATGATATTCCTCCCCAGTCCACTGATGCTGAAGGCAGAAACCAATTGAAATGTCAAAAGTTATGCAAAGGGGCTGAATCAACTGGACTCACTGATGCTCAACCCAGGACTCTCCACATAGTAGGGAAGGAGTCAGGAGAGCAGAGGAGGGGGAGGGGTTGGGGGGCAGTAGGCCCAAGGGGAGCTGATGGAGCAAGGGGACATTTGGCAGCAGAAGGAAAAAGTAGCAGTTTATAAGATATTTATTAATAACAGTGGCACATCCAAACAAGCCACATGAACTCAGTACTGGTGCACAACACGAAATTCATTCTGCTCATGGGAGGAAGCTCTTAGAGGGAACACTTCCCCCAGCCTCTCTGCCCGAGTTAATGTCACACACATTGGGTTAATGCAACTGCAGAATAGTTGCATAAGGAAGGTTTGGTGGGGGCTAAACTAATTCCTATTGGTAGGACTATTAGTGGGAAAAGTTCTTAGAGGGGGTCACTCAACACCTTTTACTTCTGGTCATGTGTCCGTCTTGCCCCGAGAGTGTTACCTCTAGAGGTGTAGCCAATGGGAGTCAGGGTGTGGCCAATGGGAGTCAAAGTACATTTGAAAAAAATTCTAATGAAATGTGCTGCACATGCCTGTGGCCACTGGCCATAATCTTTGAAAATTCATGGCAATTGGGGGAGGTCCCAGATGATTGGACAAGGCAAATGTAGTGCCCATATTCTAAAAAGGCAAGAAGGACAATCCAGGGAACTACAGATCAGTTAACAGATCACCTCAGTCCCTGACCAATCTGACTGCCACCTATGACAAGGTAACTGGCTCTGTGGACATGGGGAAGTCAGTGGATGTGATATACCTTGACTTTAGCAAAGCTTTCGATATGGTCTCCCAGAATATTCTTGGCAGCAAGTTAAAGAAGTATGGATTGGCTAAATGGACTGTAATGTGGATAGAAAGCTGGCTAGATAGTCAGGCTCAATGGGTAGTGATCAATGGCTTGGTATCTAGGTGGCAGCTGGTATCAACTGGAGTGCGCTGGGGTCAGTCCTGGGTTCAGTTTTGTCCAACATCATTATTAATGACCAGGATGAGGGGATGGATTCCACCCTCAGGAAGTAAATTCATGGATGACACTAAGGGTACGTCTAGACTACATGCCTCTGGCGACAGAGGCATGTAGATTAGGCTACCCGACAGAGTAAAATGAAGCGGCGATTTAAATAATCGCCGCTTCATTTAAATTTACATGGCTGCCGCGTTGAGCCAACAAACAGCTGATCAGCTGTTTGTCGGCTCAGCGCGGCAGCCATGTAAATTTAAATGAAGCGGCGATTATTTAAATCGCCGCTTCATTTTACTCTGTCGGGTAGCCTAATCTACATGCCTCTGTCGCCAGAGGCATGTAGTCTAGACGTACCCTCAGTTAAGATTCACTATTCGTGTAAAGACACTGGCTTAAGAAAGGAAAGGCTGCAAACTGCCCAGTTCCCTCCCCCACTAATGTAGGACTTTCTGCCCTTCACTGTGTTTGTGCTTCTTACCCAGGAGAGGGTGGGGGAAGTCAAGACAGGGTCCAGAGTTACCTAGACAATTCTGATGAGATTCAACAAGGAAAAGTGCAGAATCCTGCACTTGTGATGGAAGAATCCCAAGCATTATTACAGGCTGGGGACCTACTAGCTAAGCAGCAGTTTGGCAGAAAAGGACGTGAGGATTACAGTGGATAAAAAGCTGGATATAAGTCAGCAATGCGCCCTTGTAGCCAAGAAAGCTAATGGCATACTGGGCTGCATTAGTAGGAGCATTGCCAGCATATCGAGGAAAGTGATTATTCCCCTCATTTGGAAGTGAAGAGGCCACATCTGGAGTATTGTGTTCAACTCTGGACCCGCCCCCCCAACATGGACACATTGGAGAGGGTCCAGTGAAGGGCAATTGAAAGGATTAGAGGGCTGAACCACATGACTTATGAGGAAAGGCTGAGGGAACTGGACTTACTTAGTCTGCAGAAGAGATGAGCAAGGGGGAATTTGATAAAAGCCTTCAACTCCCTGAAGGGGGGTTCCAAAGAAGATGGAGAGAGGCTGTTCTCAGTGGGGGCAGGTGGCAGAACAAGGTGCAATGGGCTCAAGTTGCAGTGGGGGAGGTCTCAGTTGGATGTTAGGAAAAACTATTTCCCTAGGAGAGTGGGGAAGCACTGGAAGGGGTTCCCTAGAGAGGTGGTAGTATCTCCATCCCTAGAGATTCCCGGCTTGACAAAGCCCTGGCTGGGATGATTTAGTTGGGGTTGGTCCTGCATTGAGCTGGGGGTTGAACTCAATTGCCTCCTACGGTCTCTTTCAGCCCTCATCTTCTGCAATTCATTGAACATTGTGTCATTTGTTAGGGAGAGGGAAGGAATTAGAACAAAAGCATTTCCTTAGCCATTCCTGCAAAAATAAAATCTGTGCTGCTGGCTAGCTTGGGCCAAGATCCCCTGAACACTGTTGAGAGGGAGATGGCAGCTCAAACTGGTACTGGACTAAGATGTTTCCATGGCAGGAGCTCTAGACAACTCCTTTTCCCTCCCTGCTCCCCTCTGGTTCCAGGGGCCTTGGGGCTGGAGCGCTCTTATGTAGCTGGGCATTTCTGACTCAGCTTGGTGGCTGGTGGGTGCCCGGCTGGCACTTCAGACCCAGAGAGACTGCTCCACACTTACTTTTCCTTCACTTCAGTGGATTCCGGGGCTGGTGCGCTCTCTGCCCTGTGAGCTGTGCCCAGCTTAATGTTCTCCAAGCTGCTTGCAGCCTCGCCTGTGCCTGCTCCAATCTCCTCATCTGAGGCGTTTACATTGCCCTCCATATCACTATCAGAGCTGGTGAGCGAAATCTTCTCAGAGGAGCTGTCTCCACCGTCCTCCTCACTGGACGTGCTCTCATACCTGTCAGGAAGGAGAGCATGATCAGGGCTCTGTGGGGAGACCTAGCACCTTTCCCCTGGCACCTGTGCTGTGCAGCAGGAGGGCTGGAGTCCTGCAGCTCCCTGCCCCCAACACACACAGGGCACATTTCAATCAGGGCCACTTTGGACCCGGCTGTAGCGAGAGGTACAAACACCAGAGCTTGTTCTGGAGCAAAGAGCACGTACTCCCCGTTCAGCACCCCCACAAACTGCAGGCTCTTCCTCCCGCCCTCAGCCTCCAGCCTCGGAATCCCATCTCGCTTCTTCATGATCGACTTCAGGGCACCTGCGGAAACAGAAATGGGAGGGTGACCTGGCGGAAAGCCCTGGCTCAGGCAAAGACTCAGGGATGGGGACTCACTCCATCCATATAGTTCATAGGGAGATGCTGGGGGTTAAGAGCACTGGTGGGGGAGAACAGGCTTGGCTTGGGCTCCCTAAAGGCCTGGAATTTGTTGTAACAAAGCACAGGGAAAGTTGCTGCTCCATCCAGCCTGACACCCTGAGTGTCAGCAGAGCCACGGTCCCAGGCAGCACCCCGCATGTGCCAAGGAGAACAACTCTGAACGACAGCGCTCGGGGCTTAACAGGTGCCTGCCCCATTGTGGGATCTCCTAACCATGGCCAGCTCCTACTGCAAGCACATAATCCCTTCACTCTCACCCCTCCCTAAAATTCACAGCCCTCCCCCCACATACATACAATGGCTCCACTGTTGGGCTGTGCTCCCCTCCCCCCGCCTACACTCACCCCGAGAAACCTCTGAGCTAATTCCCTGATGGGGCGGGGCTGGAAGAGGGTGGTTACCAGCATTCCTATGAGGGCATCTGCCCAAGCATCTCATCAATGTAGCCTCCTCTGGGATCTTGGGTCTCCACTCACAGGCACTGGTGACAGGATGGTGGCAAACCAGCATGAGTGAGTGGAGAACCAGCATCCTGGGGCTTCAGGTTCCTGCCAACAGCTTGGCTTCTGTCCAATTATAACTTGAGAAGAAACACCAGTGGACATCTACCACCAGGGGTAAGTCCCGGCCACAGAGCAGAGGCAGGAGGCCCATTAACATGCAGCATATACTCCCGTAAGTGACTCACCAGCCCCAGGAATCAGAGGAGCACAGCTGTCCTTCTCTGGAGGCATTTCTCGCACTCCTTGCCTGGAGTCCTGGGGGATTAAACATGAACCATGGGCCACTTCCACTGTCCCAGTCCCTCCCTGAGGCTCAACTGTCTTACTGCCACTAGTGACTGCAGACTCAGCTGTGTCCACCTGGTTTCCATGTTCTCCGGCACTGAGAGGGATTTGTTTAGACTTCTTCCTAGATGCACCTAGATCTGTATCTTCCATTGATGTAACAATTTCTACCTCTAGATCCACTTGGCAGCCTCTCTCTTCATATGTGGCAGGTGAATCTGAGCTGACAGCAACTTCTTTGCCTTCCAAATCACAGCTGACTCCCAAACATAACATCTGTGGCAAGCAATCCACACCCTTATCAACCATTTCCCAGTGGCTGCCCACCCCCTGGCTTTGCACTGGTACTGCTGCCTCTGCATGTGCGTCGACCATCTGAGGTTTAGCCATTATTTCCTTATCGATCAAACTCCTTGGCCTTCTGGAACAAACCTCTACTCGTAACTCCTCAAGCTCCTTAGTCGCGTCCTTCAAGTGCCCTTCCATCATGGCAATGACCTCCTTTTGGTGGCCAATCGTGTGCTGCAACATCTCCATTTCCTTCTCTGCTTCTGTAGGAAGCCCCAACAAGGACTCCATGACCCACACTGCAGCATCTGTGGTCTCAGTCTCTTGGCCAACACCAATCTCCTGGCACGGCTTCTGAGATCGGTAGTAGAACACGGCCTCATTCATGTTCATCTCCTCACCCACGCCTACAGACTTGCATTCTCTCTCCACGGCCCGGGCAACTGATCGGCTGGCTCGCATGTTCCTCTCTGAAGCAGACAGTTTCTCAGTGAGTCGCCTTAACTCCGTGATTTTACTTGCTCGAGCCTTCACTGACTCCAGCTCCTTTTCCAGTGCCATGGAAGCCTCCTGGCTTGCCCTGGTGACCCTGGCACCAAGAGTTTGGGACGGAAAGCCGAAGACAGAAGCATCACTCGATTCGGGAAGAGGCTGCTCCTGCAAACCTGCCATCAGCTTTTCCTTCTCCCGCTTCAGTTGGCAGATTTTCATTTCCAGCACTGGGATCGTCTTGACTTGTTCCTCCAGCTCTTTGAGTTGCCTCAGGGCAGCAGCCATCTGCTCCCGCACGTGCTGCAAATGCGCTGGGCTGATGTTGGTGGCTGGGGTGCTCCTTCCGGAATTCAAAGGGCTCATCCTCTTAGAGCCGGTGTGAGACAGACCGGACATGGCTTGGCTCTCTCCATTTCCATTCAAAGGCACAGCAAAGCAAGTGGTACCAGAGATGCCTGGTTTAGATGGACTGCTGGGTGGCCCAGGCATTTGGGCATCTTCACTAGTCAGCAAACAGAGCTGCTCTAGCTCTAGCCTCCTACTTGTCTCTTGCAAGGTTTTCTCCACCCGGGGATTTCGCATGAAGGCTTTGGGGGCAGGGGGTGGAAGGAGATTTATAACTGGAGTTGGAGACATGGGGTTGGAAGCCTGTTTGCTCAGGGGCTCTCTTGTTTCTGAGGCCCCAGCCTGCATTCTGAGACACGGAGATAAGAGGAGCACGTTCTTTCCATCTTCGCTGGCCGTGGACGCCAGAGACTCAGTGGAGGTCCAAACGCTGGCGTGGCTGGAGGGGCTTCGCAGGGAACTGGATTGTTTGGGCCCTTTCGCTTTCCGGTGCAATGGAACCTTCTTAAGAGTTTGGCCACTCTCAATGTCATCAACATATTTCAGAAAATCGAGGTCTAGCAGGAAGCCATAGGGGGTTTCCACAGAGTAGGAGCTCTTCTCCCCATCGTCCTGATCTCTGTACAAGAAAGGGCCACCTAAATCTGCCAGGAAAGCCAAAGAGAAACCATGAATATCGTCACAAAAGGCCTGAGTCCATCAAACCCATCTCCTGTCCCTGTCCCATCTTTTGAGCTTTTCCTGCTGGACGCAGGGGGAGAGTTTGATGCTACGTAAAGTTTATGCAGTCGCCCAGACTAGAAGAAAAGGTCCAGAGCATCTTCCCGCTTCTCTGAGTGCCATGTGAAGCCTGTGAGGAAGCCTGGACCCTGTTCGATGCCATAGGAGTTTCACACCCAAATTTGAGTGTGAAGATTAATTTGGGGTCTTTAAGGAGGTGAAGCAGCATGGTCAGACCATGGACAAAGGGTGCTAGAGCCGAGAGACAAAGTGACCTAGGGCCCACTGAGGGCAGCAGAAAGGATCCCACTGGGGGCAACTGGCTCCACATCAGCCCAGAGAGAGGTTGGTCGAGGCATCATGGAAAGGCTTCACTGTGGGGTTAATGTACATGGAGCAGGGGGTGCCTGGTGCAGAGTGCTCCCCATCTTCCTTCAGTGCACTGCCATCTCAGCTGCCACCCTCTTCCGGTGCATGGCCCAGGCGAGGGGAAACCAGAGTCAGAGCATGGAGGTCCCCTCTCACGTGACCCACCTGCCAGATTAGCTCCAAATCCCAACCAGAATCCTTGCCGAGCCTGGCAGGGATTTTCTGATACAAAATGCAGCTTCACAATATTGAAGCGTTCAGTGGGGAAATTCTGATTTTCCCAAAAACATTCAATTTTCCCACCAGTGACAAATCAAAATAAAATGTCCCATTTTGGCAGCGTTTGACCCAAGTCACAATATTGCACTTTCCTGAGTTGACCCAAAATGTCCTTTCAAATCAGGTCAATAAAACATGAAAGCCAGCACACCGATGCTGTAATACGGGGCCTTCCTGGAACTGCAGCTCAGCCCTCCCATTCCTTCTTATGAGCCAAGCTACCTAGAGGGCGTCTCCCACAATGTCCCTCCACCCAAGCCATGTGGTGCATCAGAGGAGATGTAGTTTGGGCAAGGATCTGGCCCATAGGGAGAAGGGAGGCATGAGACAATGTACCACAACAGGACAACACAGTTCCATGTCAAACTAACTGGAAAGCAGCATTTCTAGTCATTTCAACAGAGAGAAAGGTTTCAACATTTCCAAGGACATTTCAACTTTTCTATTTTATGAAAAAGTTAAAAATTTCAACTTTTTCTCCTGCTCTGAGAGATAAAGCTTGAAATATTTTCCTACCAGGTGGGAATGCTCAGATCAAACAGCCCCCAGCCAGAGATGGCAGCCAGGTCCCATGAGGCTGCAGCTCCCATTATTTGCATTTGCAGAAGAAGCCGATCACCCCTCTAATCCCCTTTCCATCAGGGCAGGGCTGCATTGCAAGGTGAACGCTGTGAGAACACCTATCCCTGGTGCCCCTCAGGTAGGAGCAGCCCGTGTTCCTTTACCTGGCAGATTCTGGTTCAAGTGTATGGGCTGGGCCATCTTCTCCTAGGGGTTCACAAAGCCATAGAGCAGCAGACCGTGAATCTGAAAAGACAGTATGAGCTAGGGTGAATTCCTTGCTGGGTGGAGAGTGACATGAGCAGCACAGCCTGGACGGAAGCTCGTCTATCTAGCCCCAGCTGCCCTCCCATTTTACCACCTCAACTCCACTCTGCATGGCAAAACATCACAAGAGAAACCCTCAACCCAAGGGGAGAGGCCTCTTCTGCTGCTTCATCCCTCCAGCTGGTGAAACGCACCTCCCACAGAGAGCTCTGGGCCCAGGCAGAGACAGCCTCGTGGAATGCCCAGCCCCACAGGAGCCAGTGTTTCCCCACACACCTTAGTTGGGAGACCCTGAGTGTCCCTGTGTCTTGGACCAGGGTGTAGCCTGGTCAGTTACAGGCTGCAATGCATTCTGGGGCAGAGAGCTCTAAAGTAAAGTTTGGGAAAGAAAATATCACCTACAGGTAAAGGGGGAGGCCCCTCCTGCCTGAACAGGAAGCAATGAGGGCCAAGAAGGGGCAACCTGTAACAGACCTAACTTCTAGGCAGTACTGGGCCGCTGGAGCTCTGAGGGCTGCTCAGGAAACCTGGATTCTAGTCCTGGTCACCTTTTGGTGGGTCACCTTTTGGTGCTTCAGTTTCCATATTTGTAAGATGGGAGAGAATGATACCTTCTCTTTAAGGCCCACTGATGAAAAGCAGCATATAAGAGGTAGAGATTATTATTAAAATGCTTTACAAAGAAGATCTCCCCCTATCTATCCTTAATGCAAAAACTCCACAGGAAGAATACCTTGCTGGAGACAAGGAGGAGGCTGAAGCAAGTCCTGTGCTATTTGCTGAAGAATGGGAATGTAAAATGCACAGGAATCTGGGATACACACAGACAAAATGACTCACCCAAGAGCACACAGTGTTTAGCGGCACAGCCAGTAATAAAACTATGGTGCACCCACCTCTTGATTACGGAGTCCAGTTCTGGTAACTTCATTCCAAAAAGGACAGAGTGGAACTGGAAAAGGTCTAGAGAAAGGCTACAAAGACAATCAAGCGTAAGGAATCGTGTCTAAATGAGGAGAGTTTTTTTTTTTTTTTTAAAGATTATTCAGGTTACAAAAAGGGAAGGGGGGACATGACAGAGGTCCATAAAATCATGGTGTGGAAAAAGTGAACAGTGTTATTTACCCTATCCCAGGATACAAAAACAGGGGTCACCAGATGAAATTAACAGTCTGCAAGTTTTTTATTAAACAAGACGACACTCTTTTCCCCACAACGTACAATTAATCTGTGGAACTCATTGCCCTGGGATGTTGTGCAGGTTCAAAATAGAATTAGATAAGTTCCTAGATGACAAGCCCGACAATGGCTGTTGGTCAAAATGAAGAGAACAATGGAGGTGGAGGGCTTGTACCCAGGCCTGGGACTATCTGGAGAAAAAGTGCTGAAGTGGGGGTCTGACACACACAAATGATCTCGCAGCCACTCTCAGCTTCTTAGCTCCTGCTGGAGTCTGGCTTCCAGGGCACAAGTGAGGGTTTTACAATGAAACTGTCTGCAGGGCCTGGGGCTGTAAGTGCATTTCTGGAATGTTTTCTAAGCCTCTTCTGGAAGGCTGGAAAGGTTTTTTGGCTGGTCTCCCATCTCAGTGCTGCCAACTCCAAGCAGTCAGAAAAAGTCAGGAGATTATTTATTAAACTCTCACTATGTTTCAGACAACCAATGCTTCTTTTTCCCTTGCTGGTGTTTGCACCCGAAGGGTTCGTGTTTCCTAGCTGTTCTCAGGAACCCCCTAGGCTACAAGTGAAATTCCTCAGGAAAACAAATGCCTGCTATGGGTTGGAGAGATGGACTGCCTTCCAGGGGCAGCACATACAACACCAGACAGTGTGACACCTGCGGGACAGGCAGGAAACTCAGCAGCACAACTGGCTGGGACTAGGGACACGTGCTAGATGGGCTGGGCCTAGGGTTGCAAGATGGTTTCAGCAAAAATCCTGGACACACTTGACGTTACATCCCAATCTACATCACATGGGTTGGAGAGATGGACTGCCTTCCAGGGGCAGCACATACAACACCAGACAGTGTGACACCTGCGGGACAGGCAGGAAACTCAGCAGCACAACTGGCTGGGACTAGGGACACGTGCTAGATGGGCTGGGCCTAGGGTTGCAAGATGGTTTCAGCAAAAATCCTGGACACACTTGACGTTACATCCCAATCTACATCACATCTTAGTTAGAAAATACCCGACAGTTCTATTTCCTCAATGTGTTTCCCAAACAGAAAGCTCAAACCCTGGACTGCCCGGTTCAAAACCAGACATCTGGCAACCCTAGCTGGGCCAACTATCCAGGTGGACAAGGTTGCTGCAGCCTGGGCCATGAGGCTAGTACATTTAGCACCTGAGTGCTTGGTCCACTCCGTGCCTGCCCTGAGCGAAACACAGAGACATTCAGGCTTGGGGCACGACCCAGGCAGTTGTGCTGCTGCCCTCCCCTGCCTGCTGCTAGGAGGGACTGCTCAGTGCACAGCTCTCCCAGGCCTCTCCCTTAGTCTCCCCTACCCACAGCAGGGGACCTCAAGAGACTCAGCAGCTTGGACAAGGTGATGGGGGCGGGAGCTCCGTGCAGTGCAACTCAGCCCTGCAGTCAGGGCTGGTGCAACAGGTTGTGGCTCCAGGGTTGCCAGGTGCCCCACAGCAGACCTAGTCAAACTTCAGCAGCTTCAGTCAGCAGCGCAGACCTGGCCATTCAAGGCCACTTAGCAGCACAACCCTGGCTCCGCACGGGTCCCATAAGTCTGGTATGTCCATCTCCTAGGTTCTGAGGCAGCTGGAGGCTTGGGGCACTGCTCCCACCCTGAGCAGCTCCTATTGGCCAGGAGCAGCTCCCGCTGGCCCCTCTGCCTAGGGGCTGGACACCCCTCCCCCCACCTCAACCATGTCAGAACCCCGTCCCACACTCACGCTGCCTCCTGTAGCCTGCAGCTCCTGCCCCAAACTCCCTCTCGAGTACCCCAAGCCTCTCATCACCAGCCCCACCTCAGAGTCCACTCCTCCCCTTCCATGCCCCAACCCTGCGCCACGGCCTGGAGCTCCTCTTTTCTGCCCTCACCAGAGACCCAACCCACCCAGCCAGTGCCCCCACCCCTTATGACATCTCAACCCTCTGAGCCAGCCGGCTGAAAGTGAGCACGGATGGGGGAGAGCAAGTGATGGAAGGAGGAGAGAGAAGGTGAGTGGGGGCAGAGCCTGGGTATTCGGTTTTGTGTGGTTCGAAAGTTGGCAACTCTATCCATCCCTTGGCTTGTGTTAGTTGGGTTTGGCCAGATTGCAGGGGGACTCATAGCTAGTGAGGTCCCGGTCACAGAACTGGTTGAAGTTTTTGATACAACCATGGATGTATTGGTTGTTGCCGCTATCAAACCAAGGGACACAGAGACAGCTTGATTTTACATCCCTGATAACAGGCCAGAGTTTATTCTTTGCTTGCTACTTTGGTGAGGACTCAGGCTTCTGCAGCCCATATGTTGTAATGTTGAGAGGTCGGCGTAGGCCTGGAGGTGTCCCCAGGTTATCCGAAGCTGCTTTTATCCAGTGTAGCACAAAGCCGACTTCCTGTACCTTGCACATTATGGAGCTTTGTTCCTGCACTTACCATCTAATGTCAAGCCAGAAACTGTGCCCAGAAAAGGGAGGGCTCCCACTTTTCCCTTCTGTCCTGTTAGTCTCCCAAGCTTTGCTGGAGCTTGGTCATCTCTTGGCACTTCACAAGGGCAGTGGGCACCTAGCGCTGGGGAGCTGAACAGCTCTGAGAAGTCCTAGATGTCTGATGTGCTCAGAGCAGGACCTATACGTAGAAGGGCAGCCAGTGGGGCAAAAGCCAGAGACGTCCTGTTCTGAGTGCTGAGGTCGAGGTCTGCACGATGGACTCTTGGCGCCACATGTCCAAGCCTCGCCACACTTAGCAGTCGCTGGTTATCTCTGTTGCAAGGGGCTGTTCACCGGCTTGGCAGAGCTGCTGCTCTGAGTCATGCCTGCTAAACTTAGCTCCTGGTGCAGGGAGCAATTCCATACTAGGTGCTGAGAGAGCCCCTGGCCCTGCCTCCTGATAGCGCAAGAGGTGCAGACATGAGGCCATTGTGCATGGGAAAGGACAGAAACCTGGGGTGCAAGCAGCAGCAAATCAGGCTGTTCAGGCATTCAGGTCAGATCTGTGTATGGGCAACCAGCAAAGCAGAGACAGGAGGAGAAGCAGATGAGGAGAGAAAAGCAAATGGGTCACGGAGAGATGCAGAGCAAGACAATCTCCACGCACTTAGCCTGCTGCTTTCACAGCGAGATCTCCCCGAGGCCTCAGGCACTCTCCTCTGCTGGCCACGCAGGACAACTGGTACAGCCAGAGCAGGCCAATTTGCAGCAGGGTGCGATTCCACTGCTGCAGCCGGGGGTCTGTGGAATCACTGACTGGGGCCAAGACAGCAGGGTCTGGGGAGCAGCAGGTGGTTTCAGACCCAGTCTGAGGGTGGCTCGTGCACAAGTGACCAGTTCCTGACAGGGCTGCTGCCCTAGGGAGATCATGAGGCCAATGAACTCAAATGGGTCTGGATCGGTCTCCACTTGTCTTTCTGGTTAGCCCAGCTGGGCACAAGAACACAGGCATCCCATGTAACCAAGATTCCCTGCCAACTGGGAATTTGGGCAACCTCTCAGGAGAGAGTCAAATGCTGCCTAGCTGATAAGCAGAGTGCCCAGAGCTGGCAGCAGGTGTTCCTTCCAGTGGTGCCTGTCCACATGTGCCTTGGTGCACAGAACAAAATTTATTCCACACACGGAAAAGTTAGAGGGAACATGGCATGTGACCAGATCTAGCTATCAGAGCACCTGCTCCAACAGCTTGCACTGTAAAAACGGATCAAGCATCTGCCCTTTGGCAGGCTGCAGGGCTGGGCTGTGCCAGGAAGAGCAGCTGGCCAGTACTGTGCAAGGCTCAGGATATGCTGAGACCTGCATTCGTAGGGCCAGGGCTGGCCAGCAGGCACCTTCAGGAGGTACAGGCAGAGTGTTGTATGGGCCTGTGGAGCCCAGATTCCAGCACCATCTTCTCCTACAGGACTGAGCTCCCCCAGGGAGCAGACTGGCCAAGCCCTGCGGGATTCTGCCCCCATCACCCACAGACAGGGCGTCAGAGCTCCTGCTCTGAGACACAGGAGGGCTGGATTGCGAGCAAATGGGGTCTGGTGCCACTGAGTGCAGTCAATAGCCATGGGGGCATGGGGCAGGAGGAAAGCCCAGGGCAGTGACCCAAGCAGAGCTCCAGGACTGAGTCAGAGAATTCCATGAAACATGAGGGAAAATGCTGGTTTTGGAAGAATCCCAAGTAGTGAGGTAATCAGCTGGGGAGCAGGAACATGCCATTGTTCAAGGCCAAAACATCTGTCTGCATCTGCTGGCTCACTGCACTGGCGCTGCAGGAACAATGAGCTTTGCTGTTGTGGGAAATCACTTGAGCAAACAAGTCCGCAGTTTGGGGAGCGAAAGGAAGGGGAGTCTCTGATTCCCAGAGCCAGCGCCAGATCAGAGCAGCCAGCCCCAACAGCTCCTGATAAACACCAGCTCCAAAACCAGATCTTATCAGATGCAATACATCATCAAAAGCCACCCAGCCAATCACAACAGAGATTCACTGCGTCCTAGCACAGAATGTAAAACAGAACCGAGACCTGAATGCAGGCACATCTCAAACCCAGTGCAGGTGCCCGCTTCGCCCAGGCTCCTCATTCTCCTGTCATGCCTGCAGAAGAGCAGCGATGAACAGGAGTCACCATATTTGGCTCCATCCCTGATTCTGACCCTTCCAAAGTGCAGGAGGACTGGAGCCTAAGTCTGGGGTGAAAGCCGCAGCAAGGCTTGGACTCCACGAAGCCCGGGTGCTGAAGTCTGGGGCTAGGAGTGACATGGCAGCATGCCCCTCAGTTTCAGAGCCTCCTGGCAAAACCACAGCCTGCCTGAGTGCCTCGAATTCCCCTC